TATGTTTATTAGATTTCTTAAAATATCATTCTGGGCATTATTCCATCGAAGTATTGTGAAGTTCTAACAGATGGCAGTACTAGTAGCCCATATAAACATGGCTGCATAGGCTTCACTTTTTTTCGACAATGCTCCCTCCTTTATCTCCATGGTGCAGACATATTATGTTGATGTATGACGACGGTTCTCGCTTGTGTGCGTATCCCCACCACGTCGGTGTTTTCATAGCACGGAATAGAACCATGTCCACAAACTTAGCACGGAATAGAACCATGTCCACGAAAAGCTATGACAGAAACTCTTATGGCCGTGGCCGCTCTCAGGCTTCTCTCTGATATTACTCTGCTACGTACCAGCTAACCACAGTTAACTCAACTCAAGCGATACAAGACAGCGCTGAGTTGAGTTGTCATGAATCATGCAGATTACAGATGGTCATGTCTACAAAATTTTCGGTCCTAGTGAAACTAACTCAAACTTGAGTTATCGTAAACACCCATTGTGTTTCTTCTTTTTTTTTTAGTAAGTTATTCCACTTGGATTCTAGGCGACAGATCTGATTTGCGTTTGGTAACAATCTGTCGGCGCTTCTAACGACAGATTTGGTCTGTATTTGCTACTGTTTTGTTGACAGTTCTGGTAATAGATATGATGTGTATTTGGCGATATTTTGGCGCCAACAGACGATTACCAAATCTGTTTTGGATTTGATGCGTCACTTTTGCTTTGCTAGCTGTTATGATTTTGGTCTCATTTTGACATTTTTGTTTGATAGATATGGTCGCCAAATCATATCCTAATGAGAACACAGATGGATATGGATTTGGTCTACAAATTTCGCTGACGGTTGATGACAAAACCGCGACATCCCGCCATCAAATTGTTTGCAGGGTCGGTAACTATTGCGAATCTCGCGTAAAGGACTTTTCGACTCAGACTGCGTTTCGTTTCACGCATATGCGCGCGTTTATCTATAGTACACGTCACGTATAGTATAGATAAATGCGTGCATGTGCGTGAAACGGAACACAGCTTTAGAATAACCCTTTCTATTTGCTTACGAGTGATACGGTCTTCATCAGACACTCTGTACATAATATACGTATATACCTGACATCATAGGCGTAATCCATCCTTCGACTTTTTTTGGTAGTATTTGAATCACTTTCTCAGCTTTCCATAAGTCATCTTCCGCTTTGTAAAATCGATAAATATTTGATGTTACTGCACAACCTACAAATCCTTCAGCTGCTAAAGGATTGTGAAGAAATCTGATCTCGAGAGGAGCAATTCCGTCGTTTCTCAGGTTAATAACTTGTTTAAGTTTGCGCTCGTTCCAAGAGTAAACGTTCAAGCTTCTGCCATAAATTTCTGTGCAAATTGTCACATTTATAATTTTTTAATAGGCAAATAATTACGTAATTAAGTACAATCAAAATTCAATTAGTTGATATAATTAATCTAATTAGGTTTTACAAGAAACTAACGTGTTTTCAATACTACTCTTATGTGATCGCAAACAATTACGTGTACTTGTACTTACTGGGATTATTAACATCCTTTGGCATAAATCCTTTTTTAAAAACTTTAGGTGCACCCCATTCAGTAGCGATAAGTGTATCGTGATATGGTTGATACCAAAAATCGTAACCAAAAGCTGCTTTATCATGGTCTTTTGACCACGTACCTTTCACTTCCAAGGTGTTTGCATTGATGCAAAAAAAATCTCCTAATCCGTCGCCGTTGAGATTTCCCATGGTGGAAATCATTATCTCGCCGCTTGGCAAACAATGCGAAGTATGCGGTGTAGATATACCATATTTGTGCATCTCATTTGGTTCTAGGACCTTATAATATAAAATATATTAATTTAGAAAAGAAAAATAGTGAGATTAACAATAACAGAAGAATCGATAATTGTTCAGTATAGAAGAAGCAGCTCCGATAATCTTGACTTTGTTATATGTTGTCAAGAACACTCTCTTTAGTAGTATATGAACCTCTCCTAGTAGTATATGAACTTCTCTCTGAGGTTTTAGCCGTTGCTCATTGTTCATTAAAAAATTATTAATAACAAATATAGTCACACAAGTAATATTTAATAATCAACAACAATATACAATTGTTAATAATCAACAATTGTTAATAATCAACAATTGTTAATAATCAACAATTGTTAATAATCAACAACAATTATTAATAATCAACAACAGTTAAAACTTTGGAGAACTGTAAACCCATGTGGAACTTTGCTTCGCGTGGAAAGTATATATACATGAAAGTACCCAGCAAACACAGAATATATCAGCTATATAACATAGAAATAACACATGATATAACGGCTGTTATACTGTATTAACATCAATTTTATATAACTTCTTCTTATAATTGTCATATAACTGTTACATATCTATTATATTGCTTTGTTATTACATGGCAATGACATTATAGCAATAAAATTGATATAGAATATGTTACATAACAAATGTTATCTGAACTCAACATTGCAGTTATTTAACATTATTTATCAATATATAATTATTGCAATATAACAGCAATAAAACAATTACATAGCTTTTATAAAATTCTATATAACTTAGGAAATTACTACATCCCTTACAAAAAAGTATTATTGACACATCAGTGATTAAGTATTGTCGTTTAGTAATTTAATTATTAAATCGTAGTAATTGTTAGTAATTCAATTACTACTGTGTCAATAATTTTTGGTAGTTCAGTAATTATCATATGTGTAATTGATTACTGGCTTAGTAATTGAGTTGTGTGATGAAGTACTGAAGAATCACTGAGGACTGTAATTACTTATTGTAATGAATTACTTGCTGAGTGATTGAGCTATGTGATTCATTATTCAAATTCAATATGAATCACTGACTCTGTAATTTGACTGTAGGATAAATTATTAGATAAATACTGAGACTTTACTAAATACTGACGACAAATCATTGACTCAGTGATTTGGCTGTGACAAGAATTAATGGCACATTTATAAGTAATTACTGTTTTAATTTATAAGTAAATATTTATAAGTAATTACTGATCTGTTGTTATTTTTTTTTATAAGTAATGCTTCTTTACAAATGGCATAAAATTTTATGGTATATTTTATATTCATGAAAATGATAAAAATGACTGATCTTATTTATTTTATTTTGCAAGTGCTTTTGAAGAAAACATAATTTTTTAAATAAATTTTTGAAAGATTTTCTGTCTGAAAATAAAAAGTAGGCAAATACAAGACAGTTTGTTTGTTCATTAAAAAACTTTTATTCATCAGAAAAAATGTGTACAGAGTGATGACATTTGCAAGAGAATGCTGTCAAACAAAGAAAATACGTTATAAGTTACATGCCGCGCATAACAGTTATATATCCAACATATGTATATCCAACATCAACAATGTTATATATTTCAGTGCTGATAAATTTTTGAAATGTTATAAAGATAACAACGTTATTGCAAAGATGACATTTCAAGGACATCTTAATTAAGAAACTAAAACAAAGCGCAAAGTATGCATACAATTTATTTCAATAAATGTGTCATTAAAAAAAATATTGTCTGAAAATGGAACTCGTTACTCATAATCAGGTAAGAGCCAGCATTGTCATACGATCTAAGAAATAAAGATTGGTAATTAATCTCTTTCTACGGAATTGACAAGAGGAAAACAGCAAAATTTGCGTCTATTATCTGGATAGGGTGTTATAACACATTTTCTCGTTATCATTTGTGGATGTATAGCTGTACATTCATTTGTTGTTTCTACGACATTAGCAAAAGAATCCGAAGTTACACCGAGGACTCTATTCATTTACACAAAGTGATTCATCTGTTGAATATAATCTGAAGCCTAATAAAACACATAATGTTCGGTTACTTACTGCTGTAGAAATTACAACAACATGAGTGATAGCCATATATTTCATATTTTCAGTCTGCACAATGTTGTTTATTCTTTTACTCATACGCTGATAATCCTGTATATGATATAGTACTGTAACGGAGCCGCCGTGTAACGCGCAACTTACCCGGCCTTCCGCCTGCCGGACAGCTCAGTCAGACTGTCAGCAGAGTTGCAAACTCTGACCCGCTAGCACCAAGAGCACCGAGGTGGTGGGAGCCACTGGGAGCACGCACACAAGCGAGAACCGCCGTCCGTGTGCGTGACGTCACGCTCGGCACTTCGGCTCGTGGAAGAGTGCAGACGTATTATGAT